ATTTTGTTAGTTTTGACTCTAATCTGTTAAGGTCATTTTGGATTTTGATCATGCCCTCTTGAACAACCCTTCCTAATTTAGTGTCATCTGCAAATTTGATAAGCATGATGATGGTGATGATTCACTTTATGGTTATTCTTGAAAATAACTTTGTTAAGAAGGTGCTAAAATTATCCTAATTGGTTGTCAAATATGAGAAGTTTCAGTGCTTTCATGCATTCCTCAATGACTACAATATAAAGGAATGTGGCCAGAATTTGAAATCTCCCATTGGTTCCTTTGAATAAACACTGTCATCTAGTGGTGAATCGCTGGCTATGTTTCTCTCATTCTTCTTTACCTGTGATCAGCAGTCCCAGAGACTTGCTAGGGTGAGGAAGACATGTGTAACAGCATTTTTATACACTGAATACAGGCCGTACTTCTATATCTCAAGAGTAATCAAGTCAGACTCATGCTATGTTCCCCGAGTCAAAGGCGTTTATTACTTGAGCTCTACAGTTCTGCTGGGCTTGCAAAGGCCTTAATTGCCATCCTGATCACATGAGACATTGGTCATTTGTAGTTGAGGTCATTCCGGTCATAAAATATTTGCTCTCAAGTAGCAGGCTAGCCATCAATAGATATTAAATCTTGAAATAGAAATTAAACTGTCAATCTTGAAAGGGGACACCAAGATAAGGACATCAGAATTCCTGGTACAGTGGGACATGAACTCCACTTTAAATCAAATTATACCTTTCTAACTTAAACAAAAAGAATCCAGAGCAAAATAACCAGCAATGAGACACTTCCAGGGCTGTAACTGCTGTGAGCCTTTTTGATCTCAAGTCCATGCTGTGAATTTATATTTAATTAAAAATAAAGTAGCATCTACCTTACTTCTTTTACTTATGTTCATCCCTATAGATCAGTGGTTCCCAACCACTTTTTTGACCACTTGACCAGGGATCACTTGGACCAGAGACTACTCTCCAACATTATTATCAAAAGAGCTACACATCAGTTTTTGGTCAACTTTGTATTCGGTTTGATTATTTGGAGTGCTGGTTCAGAAAATAGCATTGGATAGGCCACATCAGCTCTAGTTTCTGACACAGAACATATGCCATCCAGTAGTCGCCACTGCTCGCCCACAGAAAACCATATTTAATAATCTAGAGCTGATGTGGCCTACCCAATGCAATTTTCTGAACCGGCACCCCAAATAACCCCAGGAATGGGCCTAAAAACAAAGACACCAAGGTACCTCCACTTCCAGGTGCCACATGGAATGGCTCTGCTCAGGGGGAGGGAGGGAGGAGGAGGAGAAATAGCAGTCAGGAGGCTTGTTGTCGCCCCCTTCATGAGTAGTCAGCCTCTCCCCGACATCCTCGTTGCCTCGGCACTATAGGTATATCCCCCCCCCCCCCCACTTTGTGGGAAAGCTTGACTCCACAACCCCCATTTTAATGAGCCCTCCTCCACAAATAACCTGCTTCTCCTTTATCTCACCCAAGTTTTTAATCAGTTTTTAATTAGTTTGTCCTTTTAATCACTACATGTAGCCCACCTATTGTCACTGTGATTGTGTTTATTGTAATTTTATATCGTTATGCATTCATGTTTTATGTAATTATGATTTTATTTATTTATATTTCAAACTTATATGCCGCCACTCCCCTAGGGCTCAGAGCGGTAACTGGAGGGAACTGAACAATCTAAATCTGGTTTCTTCAGCAGGGAAGAGACCACCGTCTCATTTTGTTGTTTATTGTTTGCGTTTTCGGTTTTATTCTGCTGTAATTTGTTGTTTGGGCTTGGCCTCATGTAAGCCACCCCGAGTCCCCATTGGGGAGATGGTGTCGGGGTATAAATAAAGATTATTATTATTATTGACACAAAAGCACAGTATGTCACAGCAAACGAGATCTATATGCTGGATTTTGTATCACAAAATCACAAGTCTAGTCGAACACTTCCCAAGCGTCTAGGACTGTGTGATGTATTTTTTAATGATGTGCGCAGATCCAAGTAAGGTGGCCTTTTGCAGTTGACAGATCGTGATTTTGTCGATGTTTATTGTTTCCAAATGCTGGCTGAGATCTTTTGGCACGGCACCCAGTGCGCCAATGACCACTGGGACCACCTGTACTGGTTTATGCCAGAGCCTTTGCAGTTCGATTTTGAAGTCTTGATAGCGGCTGAGTTTTTCCTGTTCTTTTTCCTCAATGCGACTGTCACCTGGTATGGCGACATCAATAATCCAGACTTTTTTCTTTTCCACAATCGTGATGTCTGGTGTATTGTGTTCCAAAACTTTGTCAGTCTGGATTATTATTATTATTATTATTATTATTATTATTATTGTTATTATTATTAGGTTTCGCGATACCAGTCACTCTCACTGCAATGGTGTAGTAATAATGAGGCTGTGGACCATATTTTAGTCCTTGGGGACCACTGGTGGTCCATGGACCACAGGTTGGGATCCACTGCTATAGATTATACGTTAAGAAAGGAACAGACATGTTATTTTTTACTTGCTGATTATGAGGTTCTGATCCTATATTGTTTTCAGCTTCACTAAAACTTACCTCTAGAGCTACAAGAAAAGGAAAGAATTCAGAATCCAGATTTATTAAGTGCCCAAGTGTTTCAAATATCTGAACCTGTATGTTGAATTCTGATTGAAAATGTATTAGCCGCTAGTGCTGTTTCTTCAGAACTCATATTATATGGAAGAAAAACAGTGTTAATGCAGAATTTATTTTTCATAAGTTATGATTAACACACCCTGACATTGTAATAGGTATTATTTATTCAGTATTCCTAATCTTGTAAACACATCCTTAGTGTATGTAAAGAAGAATATGACAGAATACTAAATCAATTGCCAAGGGCTCTGTGATGTTTTAGACCTGTGTAATATATGCTATTGTAGACCTGTGTAACATATGCTAAACGCCAGGAAAAAATGCTTCTGGAACATGGCCATATATCCCGGAAAACTCACAGAAACCCAGTGATTCCGGCCATGAAAGCCTTCGACAACACTATTGCGCTATGCTATTATGTTTATTAGAGGTATTAAAGTAAGGTATGGTAATGTAAGCAATGTAAAGTCAGATCCTGGTAATCACAAAACCCATTCCTGTGATTTTGCATACTCCATAGGAATTTGCTATGTCCACCATGCGATTCTATGGTTCGCTTCCTCCAGAAGTTTCCATAGAATTGCATTGGAGGACTCAATAGTTTGCTATAACTAGAAGTCATATTTGTGGTTAAAGATAAATCCGGCCCATCTGGGAACCTTTTCCAAATGAATATGGGGATCTTACCATATTGTAAATGTAATTTAATGCTCTGGGAGTTGTAGCTTTACAAAATGTTTAGCCTTCTCTTTTGGAGTGCTGGTGCCTCACCCAACTACAAATCCAGATTACATTGTATTGATCCTTGGCAGTCAACGTGGTGTCAAACAACATTAATTCTACAGTATAGATGCACCCGAAGTGCTTAGTTAGAATGGGTGAAATAATGAAATTTCAGGAATGGCTGGTGACTGCATGAATAGCCTGAATGGGCTTTTAAAAGGGAATGAGTTTGTATGAGAATGTTTCAGTTACAAATAGAAATGGGGGGATGGAGAATATGAATTGAGCATTAACTAGTCAATCATCATTTAGATGTTTTGAATAATCTGGATGTTGCACTTGTTTTATATTATTTTTTGTATTATACCTTTCTACTTCTAAGAATGCTACAGTGCAAGTTCAAAGAGGGTCCATAGTAGCAGCAATAGCTCAAAGGTGTTGTTGTGTTATGAGATTATACAAATAAAAAGTCCTGTGCAGGAACTATAAGAACTAGAAAGTATTAATATCTGATGCTATAATTGTGGGTCAGGAACAGTGTAACAAGTAGATAACCCTCACATCTCGCATAAATCGAGATGTGGGGGAATATTTGTTATTTATATAACAAATATCCCTCAATTTATGTGCATGTGGGGAATTAATTTCCCATTTATTATCACTATGGATGTTGGGTTGCTGATAGAGGTTCTTTGCCTGAACTGAGAGCCCATCTGCACTGACCATACAATGCAGATCCAAGCTGACTCGAGATCGTGGTGGCCAATGCACACTGCAGCACAGCTTAAAAAGGAAGCAGCTCATCCAAGTCACACGAAAGTCCAGTGTAAGCCACAATGGCACTGCAGCAGTTTCAAAATGTATCTCAGATCCAGGGCAAAATTGGCTGTACATAGCACATGGTAGACACCCATGGTAAAAAGTCCCAAACAAGGGCATGGATGGGCAGCAGTGGAAGGTATAACTGATTAACTCCACTTGTGCCTGTCACTTTTTCCACCCGATTCCTCTAGGGCATCACATCTACTAGAAATACAGGAACTACTTGAGGACTTTCTGTAATTCAGTGACTACAAAAATACACCGGATACCATTTGTCCAAAAGAAGTAGAGAAAGGTGTATTATCTTTTTGTAACTGATTTATGTGAATTGATGCACAGGATAGATTAATATATAGTCCGGCAGGGCTAGAAGCTAAGGGTTTCCTGCAAATGCCAGTGATGAACCAGACTTTGCCAGCTGCAATCTGACTCAATGCTAAATATCTCTTCCTTCCATAGATAATTTCAAAGGCTCAACTGCATCAGACCATCACCTTTTCCTAAAAGCATTTATTTTGGCAATATACTATCAATTTACTTGCTGATTTAAGATGAACTTTCAAATTCTAATTGTTGCTGGAAAAATCACTCTTAAAAACTACAGTAGAGCAGCAAGCTGGGTAGATGTTTGTAGACATCATGGGGAGGGCAGAAGAGACAGAAATAAGGTGAGAGGGAGAAATATTTTTTAACTTGGGACCTTCCAACCCAGTGCAAATTCATTAGGCAACCCTTATTCTGAATAAAAATTAAATCATATTGGCAGTGTTCTGGCCATCTTCTCTCAATGGAGTGGAAAGTAAAATAGACCAAACCAACTTTCACAGTTCAGCATTTTTAATTGAGCAATTTATATTGGAAACTTATCTTTATGTCAGGTAATTTAATAAAGTATGCAGCAGATAGCAAAAACAGTTGTATATTTTATTTCTTGTAAAAAAAATTACACATGCAGACTAAAACCAGTGTAAGAAAGTATCCACCCATTATTTTAAACAAATAACTATACTTAAATAGAAATGTCTGCAGTATGTTTGTATAAAAATAAGATACATTTGTACAGAAACAGATTCTCCAGTTTTCATATTGAGACAACAATTCTAAACACAAACAATTTAACCTGATCGTTTTTTTTTAATCAATATGATACTGCTAAGGTATTTTATGTGCAAAAAATTCAACACATTTCTTTAAAAATGTCCTACATGTTGAAGGTGTTGGGCTTCAAATCAAATCCTAATTGACTTCAAGTTTCAAGCAGTTCCATACACTGTATTATAATATCCAAGCCAAATGAAGAAGCAGCAGTTCCCCGTCAGCGTCTGTGCCGACTGTGTCCGGACCGACTCCCGCTGTGGTGCTTGCCCTTATGGGACCGCTCAAAGGAGCGTGACCGTTCCCGCCTTTCCCGGTGGTGCACTCGCTCGTGCCTATGCTTCTTGGCCACATCTGAGTGGTCCCTCAACTTGCTCTGAGAACGGGAACGGGACTTTTTCCTTTTGTGACCATGTCTATTCATGCCTTTCAACTCTTCTCTGCTATGTTTGGGTTTCAGAAGCGGTGACCCGTGATTATGATGCCTTCGAGGGCTGCCGCTGTGACTACGGGACCGACTCCTGGATCTCGAGCTGTAGGTTCCAGAGAGACTCCGCCTGTTGTTGTAACTTAAGAACACAATGGGAATTAGTCTTTAAACTTGCTATGCAAAATAAAGTTATGTAGTCATGTTAATTCAAATAACCATTACAAGCCACTGATTTTATAATGAGCTCTTAAAAGAAAAAGTGCATTCAAAAAGAGTATTTAATATTTTCACTTTAGAATGGGGCCTGTGAAGTATCTGTGAAGCAACTGCACGAGTGCCCTGATTACACTTCAGCCCTCCAGGTATTTTGGACTTCAACTCCCATAATTCCTAACAGCCAGAATTGGCTGTTCAGAATTATGGCCATGGCTGGTCTAGACACTGGAAGATCATATTTTCCCCTCCTATAGGGCAGCACAATTAAGGGCACCCATCATACAGTAGCTATGTGACATTGCACAACATCTACAAATGTTAGTCCTGCTTTTAGTCAAGAACCCAATTCTTGACTCAAGTTTTATGTTCATGGCTTGACTAGGCTATGCAGTTCTGATTTAGTACAAATCGTTTTAAATAAGTTCCCCCAAGTAATATGGAAGGATGCAAGTTTCCTTCTCCAATTAAAATTTAAAAAATACTCACTGCCTCCTTGGAGAATGGGATCTGGACCGTGATTTTGTTCTTGACTTTGATCGACTAGCGCTTCTGCTGCTTCTACTTCTTTTGCTCTCTTTTCTCATACTGGATGTAAACAGAGCATAGGCACAACACCAATTATAAAGAATGCGATGGCAAACCACATTACAGTAATTGAGAATTAATCTGGTCTATTACAAATGATAAGTTACTTACCCATTATAAGGGCTCTTAGAAACCACCTGTCTATCTTCTGGTTCCTTTTTTATAGTTTTTGCATTGATACACACTGGCGATTTCTCCTCTGTTTTCATTTCTCTTGGAGAACCTAAGATTTCAAATGATTCAAGGTAAGTTGGCTGACGTGAGAAAATTCCAACCTTCTGTTTCAGATAACTTGCTCATACAAGTTTCCAGAAAATGGCACCAAATGTTCACTAGGTTCTGATTATGAATGCTACATTTAATCTCTTCTGACTTGGTTTTAACTTTTTCTCCTTAACACTTTAGGCTATTTCCACTTTTAAAAACTGTAAATAATACCAGCCTCTTGGGGAACATAAATGTATCTTCCATATCAAATAATGCAAATGGGGCTCCCACTCTACAAATCTGACATTACCTGACTTAGCCCACTAAAGAGAATCAACTAAAGTAAGCCATGGTCAACCTTTCCAAAGCATTATATCACAAGCAAATTGTTCTTCAAATCATCTGATCCCAGTGTTATCTGTTTCTGCCACTAGTATATTTGAATCAAGAAGACATAGGCAGCACAGCATAAATAAGATGAGCAACTTCACTTTATGAGGCAAACACTACAAGTACCATCCATGCTGCTGAAAAATATGCAAATATTATATACAACCCATTACATAATGCTGTTGCTAAGTATTCAGAATGCATCATTCACTCATTAAGTCCACAGGTGTTAAATAACTGTTGTTACTCCTGTTTGTTTCATTTTAGGCATTCTGAAACATGCCATGTAATCATGATTGCAACAAAAACCACCAAGAAAAATTTGGCTTAAAGCTGGGTGTCAATAGCTTTTGACATAATCTATTTCATAAGTATGTAATTTGAGGTCACCAGGTGAATAGATGCATAGTGAAAACGGAGACAACACAAAATACTTACAGGGCTTAGAAGCAGGTGAAAAGCCTCCCAATGTTGAAAGAGCCGGGGTTCCATCTGGATTTAGTCCTTTGGCTTTTAATTTTGCTTCTTGTAATGCCATTTTTCTTTTTTCTACTTCTTTATCAAGTAATTCATAGTTTGGCTGAAATGAAAATAACCCAGAAATTAGAGCATTTGTATAATTTCTCTTGATTCAACATAAAATACCTTCCTAATACTGAACACATGAGTGGATGTATTACAGGACCGGTCACAAAAAGGTGATGGCTTCTAGATACCCAAGACACATACTCAACATGCTTAAGGAGAAAATGTGTGAACTATAGAAGAAAATAATCTAGAGGTTAAACAGGCTCTCTTGGTCTGTAGCTGAGAATTGTCAGATGTCTGTTCATACCAGTGAAAAATAAAAGGAGTAATAAAACAGAAGGAATCTGAATTACTATGTTGCACTAATATATGGGTTCATATACACAAATACAGAATCTTAAGTTGGAAAGGACCACAAGGGTCATTTAGTCAAAGCACTTTCTATGAAGGAATACACAAACTATGGTAATTCTCTGTGAACAGCAGAAAAAGGTAAGAAATGAAAAAGCCATCTTTTAGATATTTGAGAAACCTCACTAGAAACACACCAATATTTACATCCAGACAAAGACAACAATTTAAAACTTTTCAAAAATCTGAGCCTATAAAGTATATCAGAAAAAAGGCAAGGGAAGGAAATGATCTGTTCCCAAATCTCTAACCACTTCATGATGACAAGGGGGCAGTTTCATACTGAAATTAATCTTCACTGCACAAGTGTTTTGGGAAGAAATCTTAAATAAAGTCTCCCTTTAGCAGGCCACCTGTACAGCTTAAATGTTGTTAAACTTATCTCCTGAATATCCTCTTCAGTAGTCCCAAAAAGTGACAGCCTGTAGCAGAATGTTGCAAAGCATGGAAAAACTTCCTCCTTCCCACCAAGCCTGAACTATATATATTGTCCCTGTATGAAGTGTGAATAGGAGTACATCTCTTAGGACTTCATCACACACAGTAAACTCCACATTTCTACACATTTCAGAAACAGCTACTGATGGAGSCCATCACACAATATACACTCATTATGTGGGTTTCTAACCCTTTGCCATTTTCTAAAGTGTCCACATTTCTACACATTTCAGAAGCAGCTACTGATGGAGCCCATCACACAATATATACTCATTATGTGGGTTTCTAACCCTTTGCTGTTTTCTAAAGTGTCGTTTTTCCCAACAATTTAGAACAAATGGCAATTCACTTCAGTTTCAATTCCCCATGTAGAGATGGACAAAACTGGCAAATTTCAGGTGTGATGGGAATCCCCCTGACCACTTGAAACAGTATGATGACGTGCTAGAGATGGGCAGTATTGATTCCTTTTTTTCTGTCATTACTGTTTTGGGACCGCGGAGGAAGGAACTGGAATTTATTTATTTTGTTCCGTTAACTTTTTCTTCTCAAATCAAAGAAATCCTGTCGATTTTTTCAATAAAAAGAAAACGGGATGGGATAGTGGGAGGAGAAATCTCTCTCTCGTGTGATGGGAAGGCAAACGGATAATTTCAACAGAAAGCGGAATGGCGGAATATGTGTGATGGGGGTAGGAAAATCATTTGATCCCCAACACTTTAATCGTGTGGGATGAAGTCCTTAGTCAAACAGGTGCCCCACGCACTTTTGGACAATGACTCTCATAACCTGACCAGCCTATACTCTATGGTAGTTTTTTTTAAATAAAAAATAGAGTTTTAGTTTAACAATCCTTGGTTTAAGAGTTGCACAAACAATTTACGTTTGTTGTATTTCAACATTTAAATATAATCCAAGTCACCTTCTTTCTAGTGTAAAGCTTAAGTGTTGTTAAACATATCTCCTGAATATCCTCTTCAGTAGTCCCAAAAAGTGAAAACCAATGGGGACGGTTAGGCAAAGGAATCTGTAAGAGAATGAAAATGAGAGGGCAGTAAGACTGAATACAAGCAGTAAGGTGTTTTTTTGTTTTTTTTAAATAGTAAACATTACTAAAGATCCAAGTGGAAATATAAAGGAGACAAATACTTACTTGCAGAGCTCTAGCAGCAAGATAGATACAAGCACATGCTATTGTCTCTGGCTGAAATCGGACAAAAACATTCGTTCGAAGGCTGTCATTCATATAATTCCTGAAAAAAATCAAGAGAATACAGAATTTGAATGTCTTTCAGGTTATGAAGTCTACTATGAAATCAAAATACACATTTGGAGACTCAATCTACTTTATTATTTTTTCTCACTGTATCAAGTAATATGCCGCAAAGATGGCATATTAAGTCAAGTATCTTTTGAAGACAAAATGCTTCAAATGCCCTTGGACCACTGTAACACACAGGGTCGAGTCATCTCTCTGGAATCTCAAAGCACAAGCTCAATTTTACTTTGAATTTAGTCTTCATCACAATAAGGTGATGGTAAAGATGGTCAGCATTAAAATTTTAAAATGTATTATGTAGTTGATAATTTTAAAAATTCCACCAAGTGTCCATCAACTAAAATTTAAGTTCCAAATAAGGTGTTTATATGACCAAGACAATCATTCAACACAATTAAAATGTGATTTAACTTGTATTTTAAGCATGTTAAGATGTTATCCCCACAACATATTTGCAGTTATCAAAATGATTGAAAGTATCACTCATGAAACCTATAAAAAACCAAGTTCAATGTGGTATATTTGGCCAATTGTTGTATCCCACTCATTTGATTTCTATATTGTAAGTCCCATGCTGCACCATGTGTAACATGCTATATATTTATTTTAATGAGTGACTTCAATACACTTCAATCTAGCATAGGCAAGGCTGCAACACTCTAGACCTTGCAAAAACTATGGAAAGTGACATTTAAATAAATGTTATAAACAAACTCTATAGTCATGTTTTAAAAAAGCAAAGATTTGTCTTACCTTCGAATATAGCATTTCAAAAATACTATTTCAGAATGTAATTATGAAGTTTCTATTCTGAACAGAAAAGAAAACCACCAACAACCCAAATGATTTACTGTGGATGTCTGAACAGTGGGGAAACTGAGCTCGATACAGACACTAAATGTGTAAGTGCATACTAGTTTTTGCATGCAATTCCCACAAATTTAAGAAACCCAAACAATTAAAAATCTAAATTTAGACAAAACTGGAAAAACATTTAATTAATAATAATTATGGATAGAACTAAAGTAACTACCCAGTTTATGACAACAGGTCATGTAATAACTACAATAGCTAGAAAAACAGTACACATTTCATATGCTGAACAAGTACTTCTAGAATCAAATATACAAATCCTTTCGACACCCCGACAGAACTAGAAGATGCTGCCAGATGGTTATGGGTCACTTCAGTAAATCTTGGCTGAGAGCTTGCACTGGATTGGCTGGAGAGAGAGGCAGCCAATCAGGCCATCCTCAGGTCATGAGCTGTGCTGCAGAGGGCAGAGTTCTATGACTTACCATCAGGGGCTACCCTTTAATCAAAGAGTAGAAAAAAGAAAAAAGTTAAATTGAGTTCTCCAAGAAAATATATTATGAAAGCCATGAAAATAGTAAGCAGAAAACAAGCATCACAAGATCCAGTTTATGAAATCATAATTTAACTTACATTGCATTGTTTGGCATATAGGACATCAAGCTTGTTTTTTTCTGCTACTATTTTCCTGGCATGAAGAAAGAAGAGAATAACTTACCAAGCGGTTTGGACGAGGGTTTGATTACGTTCACATTCCAAGACTTGCAAGTACATAACAATAATCTGAGGGAGAGAAAAAAAGCAAAAACACAAAGAGTGTTAAAAAATTAATTCTATATTAAGTGACACACTGTAATTACACTTTTTCTGAATATAAGGTAATGGAATACAATTATTTCCCTGCTTCTATCAAGATTTCTATCTAAGTAATGTAACCCCTCCCCCTTATCCCCATGTATATTAGAAATGTAATAGTCTTTACAGAAATTGGCATTCAAAGTTATGCTACAGAACAAGTGATTACCTTTCTTGGCACCATCAAGACATGGAAGTTCAATACTAGAGAGAAAACATTAGTAGACTCACCTTATGTGGATGCTTGACATGAACACAAAATCCCAATTCCTTCAGCACCCTTCTTTCTGCTTTGATTACTTGATTTTTGGTGTTTATGTAGTTCTGATCAAGTATCAATGGGCTGGGAGTCCTACAGTTTGTAAGAAATAGAGTCAAAGCGGTTTTTTATACTGAAGGCAGTGGCTACTCTTTTTTCCCTTCCAACCAACTAATGGCAACAGAAACCGGTTTTTAAACTCCTGCAAACAAGTTTAAGCTTTAATCTTGTGCTGTCCAAGTTAACTACATTCACTACCTACAAATATATTAACTAAAATGGTATTCTTTTTTCCTATCAACATTCAAAATAATACAAAGTCATTTCACTTCAGTACAGGGCTGAAACTTGAAAACACTCCATGATCTCTCATGGCACGAATCCATCCTCAGAACAGAGATAGTGCTCCAATTACTATGATGAATTTCAACACCTGTAAAATAAATCCGTTATTTATGAGGAATAAAACATAAGTACTCCCAAGTCATTTCACTTAATAATCATGTATTTTGATTCCGAGTTCAGTTCTCTTAAAGAGCAGCCTAAAAAACAACAAACATTTTTGTATTGCACAAGCAAGTATTGCACAGTAATATAATTTCTCTATTCCTGGATTGCTAGAAGTAGATAGATCAGTTTCACCCTATGTCTATAATACAGAGTGGATAATAATTTAGAATGCTACACATATCTTGATTTCCCTGGCAAACTGGCTTAGCTGTCAGACAAATGTGTCACTCAAAAGAACATTTAACATGTTTCAGGCCAGGAATCAATTTTATTTTTTTTATACATTTCTTTGGAATAACACTAAAAATGCATACTGAAAGTACAATATTGAACATGCAGCCATATATTTTTAAAATGACTTTCTGAAAACTGCACATTACTTTTGCCCCTCCCATTCATTCACTTTGGCACTTCCCGAGCTGGAATTTAAACTGTATGCTCCTCAGGACAGATACATCTTATTGTTTATATCATACATATCCTCACCAGTTTTAAATCTACATTCTAATGGACTAACTTAGCTTCTTTAGGAATGAGTTGTTTACATTAGATTGCAAAAACAAAACAGAAAAAAGGGCAACCTTCAGAAGACCAGGGAAGAAAAGTAATTCAGAGAGCTGTCATTTCTAAGGGTTATTTTGCATTAGTCAAATGAGATGCATTCCTGAGAACCAACAGTTCTGTAATGGAACAGAATTAATCCAGATTGAAGAGACTATGCTTTGATGCTGTGTCCACTGAAATAGATTGGCCTTGTTCTCAAGGGCATAGAGTGTCAATTTATGTATGTAGTTATTTATTAAGAGAGAACACAAGAGAGATTCTTATGATTGACTGATGGTACAACAACATGGGGCAGTTCTAATATTTTAGAGTATGATGTTCAAACTAACTAAGGTCGATTTTTGCATATCTTCATTCCAATCTTTAGCGCCACAGTTGCCTTAATGTTATTGACAAGCACAGCTAATCTTCTATTAACATCAAGCAATGAATGCAAGTTACTAAGTTTCTAAAAGTTTGTGTATCCTGAGTGATCCTATTCGACTGTTTATGAAACATATAAAAATATTCCCTTCCACCCAAGTGGACTTACATCTATTTTGTAACTTCATTGGCTTCAAAAATACTCAATACATTTTATAAAAAAATGAGAATAAAAAGCAGTTGAAGAACGAAGGGTAGATTCCAGAAAGTCAGGCATCCCCAAATAAATACTAAGTTTATAAACAATCTTCCTACAAAATGCAGAACTCATGTTTATTTTGACAGAATTACATATCTGGATTACCCACTGCTACTTTGATAAATACATATGGAAAATATTGTTTCTTCTATCTATGTAAGGATTATGTTCTCCCACTTTCACTGTTAAAAAATTCCTTTTGATTTTATAAAACTTACCAATAAAAATATTTGGAAAATATTAGTGCAACAGAAGCCATAATTCTGGTAAAAAGCAACTATCAGTGAGCATGCTTGGTTTCCACACTACTTCCTGAGTTAAAAACCATTTCAATGAAGCAATGAGCTTCAAAATGATTGAAGCTATGCATTCCAAATAGAATGTTTGCTAATATAAACTTTGAATTAGTAACACTATACAAACACTAGTAAAAAATGTTTAAATTGCATGAATTTCATTAGCACTTATAATGTGTATAGTAATCTCAGAAAAATGAGATTACCTGGATACCACTCATGACTAAGAGATTACAGATATTTGAAGAATTATGATAAAAGGTGTAAGTGTAAAAAAGGGGCGACAAAAACAGGCGCACACCAAAGGTCAAATCATACACACACACTCACTTCTTTTAAAGTACTCAGCACTGGAATAAGACTGTGCCAACATTATCTAATGCAATATCCTTCTTGAGGAGGGAACATGTTTTCAAATAAATTGGGAATTAGTGTCTTAACATCTCAATTCTAAAGTCTACTTGTTTCAAGAGTCCATTAGTAATTACTCAAAATTAAGTGTCACTAAACCTCTGTGTATATTTCACCACTTCCTGAATTTCCAAGTATACACGTGTAGTGGGAGCCTATAATAGACAACCAGCCACACAGGAAGCATTATGGTTTGGAATACTAATGCACATCAACAAACATTCACAGAAACACTAAGCATGCAAAGCACCTTAAATACTAACTGAAAGAACAAAGCTGACAGAATAAGCTCCCATAGACTAAGTCTTTTTACTCAAGTACAGTTTTCCCACAAAAGCTTATGCTATCAACTTTGTTCTCTTTTAGTAGGATGGATAAACCTTTGAATTCTAGAAATATGTAAGCAGCAAACCATTAAGCTGCATGGTGCTTTTAACTCATATTTCAGGTTTCACAGTCAATGCAATTAAATATTAAGATGAATAAGCCTGACCTTCACATACACTTAAATATACCATTAAATTGGTAATGTTTCAGTAAAATTCTGAGGAATTGTTACATAAAATAGTCTAACTACACAAAATACAAACAAACGTGTTATTTTCTATGATCTTTATATTGAGTTTCTTACTCTTATTTTAATGTAATAGTCATTGACACAATTAGTCAATGGGTAATTCCTATATTTGTCTGCATTTCCAAAAGATCCTATTAACTCTGTTAGAACAAATGTGAATCTTTTTGTTATGCACTTATAAAGCTGTTATACAGCTAGTCAGACTCTTATTTAGCAGCAATATTCTAGGCTCACTGCTTGCAATATTTTTACTTAAAATTTAAGGAATTAAATGCCATTGCAAGCAAAGGATGTTTTTCACATTGCAGCCACAATAAACAGCACTCACATCTGAGCAAAGATTGAAGTACTATTAATTTTTCACTGTGCACACCTACCTGACTGCAGAGTTTTAAGACAGAAAAAAACTGAAACAATTGTGTATGCACACAAAATTCCCAATGAGGCTCATGATTCGAAAAGCACTCAATGTTTAGTGAGTGGTATTAAGAGCTAGTGTGCTCTAATGTCTGTCTTAAAGTATTAGTTTCCAATAAACAAATACATTTGAAAAGTCAAGATAAACTAATTCGATACTACCATAGAGAAAAATGTCATCCAATTCTTTTTTTGCCACAGAGAACTAAGTTTTACCATCCAATGGTACAAATGTGAATTGGGTGAACTGTTTTCAGGGTAACATAGGTTGCAACATAAGTCCTGAACATAGCACATCTATAAAGTTCTTACGCCTTTATCTAATTTCAAAAAACCTGGACAGCAAAGATAAAAGCTTAAAACAAGATACAGGAGTTCTTCCAAATGGTTCACCAATGGCCAACCTGTCAGTCCCCGATTCCAGTGACCTATTCTCAGAGCACTGGCTTCTTCTTGGGGATTTTCGATTCGTCACTCACTGTTGCCATGACGACAGCTTCATCTCTATGAACCACTCCACATCACCCAGGCTTTGGTAAATGTAGCTGGTCGCTGTATAGTCGGTTGCAAGGGAAAAAAGAGCTAAAGTTAATAACATGTACAACTGATTTGTTAGTAAAACTGTAACACGCAGAAAATAATTCGTATATCCAAATTTTAAAATAAACCTGCATGCCAATGTTTTTGTTTCATTGATTTAGATTTTGTAAACAGCACGTACATTTACATTAGTGAATATAAAAGAAAAAGAAGCACACCTAAGTAGCTATGATATCACTACCCACCATAGCAAGTGTACGTTGGGATGCTAGTTTTTGATTTTTTTAAAAAGTTAGTAAATTGTTACAACTTTTAAGGTAATTTGACCTCATCTTGGCTAAAAGATTTTTTGCACATTGTTAGCAAAAACCGAGCTTGAAATTAAAACAGCAGAGAGAAAAAATCTGTGTTTTTTATTGAAAGTTAAAAGTGAACTTTTATTTATTTAAAAACCTTGAAAAGAAACAAAATTAATGCATGTACATCTTGCTAGTGCATATACTGACCACACCTTTTAAGACAACAGCTAATTTAAGTTAGTGTAGCCTAAACTAGAAGAGGCGGATTTTGACCTTATGATGATCTATCAATTCACAAGATATGGAGACAAAATAAAGTCCTTGAAAATTTGACTAACATGTCAAGGTATCATTGACTAATCAAACTTTGTTATCTTTACTACTACAAAGTTTCTGAAAACACAAAAAAAGACAATATGTCTAATTACTGCACTTTTTCCTAAATGTTATTCAATGGCCTTTCTTTCACTTCAGAGATCACTCTTTCAATTGTTTTATAACTAAAAGGCGGATAGTTCTAAAACTTTTAAAATAATTCTATAACAATCACAAAAAACACATACACAGAATTGAGACTCATCTGATTTATAGAAAATTGAGTTGTATCACAATAGCCTTGATCCTGTCATTCTAGAGACCCATGGTTTCCAGGATTCCTCTGCTTACATTTTCGAAGATGCCATTACAACAGGCATATGCTGCAGTGTAAATCAACCATGCTGTCAGCTGCCCCAAATGAAAACACCACTAGAAACTTTAATCTGTTAAGATACCAATACTCTAAGCAGCTTGAAACATAAAACAGACTCTGCTATATTGAATATATGTCACCGTAAATATGGGCAACAATCTTAACAAACACAGCCACTATTTTCAGATGAACTAACATCTAACAAAATGTACCAGTAACAAGTTTTGCTACAAAAAAATGCCATTCATTAATTAAGGAAAACAAAACCTTCACAAGATAAGCCAAGATCTAAGACGGGCTTTCACAATTTCAAGATTCACTCAAACTGGAATAAATACTTAATACTTCAAAATGCTAAGCTATGTACATTATAGACAAATTAACAATATATATAAATTGCCAGATAAAAATCTCTTATGATCACCCTCTCAACCTAAAGAAGTTGACCTATCCAATCAGAACCACCACAAAAATTGGACATGACAGTGAGACAACCTACAATGGGTGTATTAAAAGCGGAGCTGATCTTACCTTTTAGCTCTTAACTGGCGCAAGTGATGGAAAACATTTATCACATCTCTTATGCGACGAGGTGCTTCTTCAATTTTGGAGGCAAGATTGATGCAGGCCATGGCAACAATCTGGAAAAAAGGGACACACTACTATGAAAAATATATTTTCCAAGTTCAGGCACAATTTTTTATACAGAATTGGACTCTACGACATCAAAAGAAACACCATTTATTTATTTACCCTACTGATAGTGTAAAATACTGATATATTACACATTGTGGTATAACAATACAGAACCATGCAATAACATATAATAATACAAGTGTACATTATATACTAATAATAATATTACAGTATAGTGATATAGTACAATGTTTATTTAACCTATTTATGCGCCACCTTTCTCTAGTCCGAAGGGGACTCAAGGTGGCTTACAAATAGATGATTCAATGCCTTAATACACATACAATTCCAGTAGCATTAAAATTAAACTAAATTAAAATTAATACATTTTAGCATTTAAAACGTTTAAAAATATTATTCAATATAAATAATAGCAATATATAATATGAATATTGTGCTATGCTGTTAATATAATATACTGTATACACTTAAAATACTGATATTATACTATATAATACAATGTAATAATAAACAATAATATAATATATAATAATTAAATATAATTACTACTGATGATCTATGAATATATAATGATATACTGTTTTATTATTGTATATTAGAAGTTGCAATGTTTTTGATTGTGAGCTGCTTTGACTCTCCGTATGGAGAGATAAAGCAGGATATAAATAAATTTTATTTATTTATTTATTTACTACATTTTTATACCGCTCTTCTCAGCCCTCAGGGCGACTCAGAGCGGTTCACAACCACAATACAAAACATAAAGCACGATAAAAAAACAGTTAAGAAGCATTTAAATGGATAACACTTATAACAATCAATAAGCATCAACATCTCATATCACCTCATAGTTAACATCAAGATCCAGTCTTGTCATCTAATTGTTCCATATGTGGAACAATTGTGTATTTAAGGACCTTGTGTTTATTTATTTATTTGCGACATTTATATGCCGCCCTTCTCACCCCGAAGGGGACTCAGAGCGGCTTACTATCCTTCTCACCCCGAAGGGGACTCAGAGCGGCTTACAAGGTATATATACATACAATATATTATTAGCGTAGTACAATATCAGTTTTAAGTATTGCTGTATTGTATTGTACTGGGCACACAGAGGACTGGGCGACTTGGAAGGTGCTGAACAGACTGCGCTCTGGCACCACGAGATGCAGAGCCAACCTTCAGAAATGGGGCTACAAAGTGGAATCCACGACATGCGAGTGTGGAGAAGAGCAAACCACTGACCACCTGCTGCAATGCAACCTGAGCCCTGCCACATGCACAAGGGAGGACCTTCTTTCAGCAACACCAGAGGCACTCCAAGTGGCCAGATACTGGTCAAAGGACATTTAAACAACTACCAAACTCATAAATTTTGTATTCTGTATTTTTGTATCTTGTCTGTTTGTTTGACTGGTTGCTGATGACTCGATAAATAAATAAATACTATATCAATTATACTGTAATATTATTAGCAATACTACATGTAATATAAATATATAATTATAATATCATATTATTATTATTACTATTATATTGCATTACATTATAATGTTTCATCCATGTATTTGAACTATGCTGTACCCCAACCTTCACATGTGAAAAAAGCAGGTAGCAAATCTTAATCAATACCTTCCAAAGATTGCTCCCAAAACTCACCTCGAAGCTATGCTTAACGAAGGACTTGGAATAGAAAAAGCGATGAAACAGGACCTGCCCGGTCGCCATGGCCACCTGTGAAAGAGGGGAAAGGGGAGGGGAAGATCCCGGTCAGTAAGCGAGCAGCGGCGCATGCGCGGAGCCCAACCACCCCTCCCCCTCCCTTTCCCGGAAGTGGCGCCGGCTGTCAGCTTGCGAGCCGGCCGCCATTTTGTGCCCGCTCTCCCTCCCTTTCTCTCTCTCGCGCGTCTCAATGGCAGCCAGGGAAACAACTTGAGGCCGGCCAGCTAGGCCGCGCGGCACTCTTCGGGCAACAAACCCGCCCTACTCCCTCCCTCCCTCCCAGTGTCCCAGGCCTACGCGGCTACCTGGGGCAGTCGGAGGAGGATGCCTGCGGCCTGGATGAGCTCGCAGCCCAGGATGCGCAGGTCGGTTTCGCTCTGGAGGTCCAGCCCGTCCTGCATGGAAGGCGTCGGCGAGAGGCGCTCCTCGGGGATGAGCGAGTGGTCGATGGTCAGCGAGACCTCGGAGTAGAGCCGGTCCCCGATCAGAATCCCCGCCGGGAGGGAAGGAGCGGGCTGAGGAGGCGGTGGCGCCGAGGCGAGCGGAAGGGCCGCGGCGGGAGAAGGGTGAGTCCCAGCAGAAGCCATGGCCGAAGATCCACCAAGCAGCGCACGCAACGTCCGACCGCACCCGAAGCCGGCCACGCAGAGAATGACCCTGCGCGCCCGGCGCCCGATGACGCAACGCGCTCCGGAGAAGTGCACGCCGGGAAAAAAGAGTCCTCCTTCTCTTCTCCTCCTCCTCCTCTTCTTCCTTCCCCCCGCCCACCGCCTCGCGACGCGAATGGCACGCACTGTACTTGCCTGGCTTTGCGTGACGTCATTGGCGCCAACGGTCGGGAGGGGGAGGGGAGGGGCGCGCGCGCTATAAATAACCGCCGCCTCGAGCCCTTCTCACTTCAGGAGGAAGGAAGGGTTGACCTATCAGTTCAAAGCACTTCACATCCTAATCCAACCACAGTACCAACACCAGAGTATTTATCCTATCAGTACCAGACCAAACAGTTGTATTGCATTTTTCAAACAAACAAAACACAAAGTTTGCAAGCTTGGTAGTTGGTTAAATGTCCTTTGACCAGTAGATGTCCACTTGGAGTTTCTCTGGTGTTGCTGCAAGAAGGTCTTCCATTGTGCATGTGGCAGGGCCCAGGTTGTATTGCAGGTGGTTTGCTCTTCTCTGCACTCGCATTGTTAGAGACCCTAAATTGGGTCTTCTTAGGTCCCCATCACAGGAACCAAGGACTAAGTCTGACATCTCCAGCTCATCCCCTGTTTGGGTATCAGCCAGCACGTCAACAACTTAAATCAATAAATAGTTTTCTAAGATCTACAGAGACACTCGCTGGAACACCTCAGCAAGTGAGAATCCAAAAGTGGCAGGCTCAAACCCAGAACCTCAACCAATGGCTGATACAAATGAGAGACTCCCCCCTGGGCACACAGAAGACTGGGCGACTTGGAAGGCGCTGAACAGACTGCGCTCTGGCACCACGAGATGCAGAGCCAACCTTAAGAAATGGGGCTACAAAGTGGAATCCATGACATGCGAGTGTGGAGAAGAGCCGACCACTGACCACCTGCTGCAATGCACCCTGAGCCCTGCCACATGCACAATGGAGGACCTTCTTGCAGCAACACCAGAAGCACTCCAAGTGGCCAGATACTGGTCAAAGGACATTTAACCAACTACCAAGTTTGCAAAATCTGTGTGTTTTTTTTTTTTTCTTTTTAATCTGTGTGTTTGTTTTGTTCTGTTAGAATTGTAACACAATGGTATGGTTGCTGATGACACGATAAATAAATACCAGTAGATGTCCACTTGGAGTTTCTCTGGTGTTGCTGCAAGAAGGTCCTCCATTGTGCATGTAGCAGGGCTCAGGTTGCATTGCAGCAGGTGGTTTGCTCTTCTCCACACTCGCATTGTTAGAGACCCTAAATTGGGTCTTCTTAGGTCCACATCACAGGAACACGTAACGAAGGAGACAGTCCCAAAAAAATAATAATCAAAAAACAAGGTTTATTTTAGTTTCATTAAGAAGACGGACAGCCTGGCAGCATACACAGATGCTACCCTTCAAGTGAAGGCATTTGTACACTGTTATAAACTCAAGTAATAGGTCATGGAAAGTATTTTCTTTCCAGCTCCCCTCCTTTCCGCAGATGGCGGAAACAGAAGAATGGCCTGCCTCAGAGGAGCGTGCTTGCTCCATCTATGTTCAACATTTACACAAATGACCAGCTCCAGCTCCTCATGCGGGGACATGAGAGAAGCCTCCCACAAGGATGACAAAAACATCAAATCATCCAGGCGTCCCCGGGGCAGTGTCTTTGCAGACGGCCAATTCTCTCACACCAGAAGTGACTTGCAGTTTCTCAGGTCGCTCCTGACACGACAAAAAACAAAACAAAAAACCAGCCACTGCCAGAAGGGACAGAGAGTTTCATCTATGCTGATGATCGTGCCATTACTGCTCAAGCAGGGAGCTTTGAGATGGTTGAACAGAAGCTCTCCGAAGCTCTAGGTGCTCTTACTGCCTATTACAGGGAAAACCAGCTGATCCCTAATCCATCTAAAACACAGACATGTGCCTTTCATCTCAAGAACAGACAAGCATCCCAGCTCTGAAGATCACCTGGGAAGGAATCCCACTGGAGCATTGCACACCCAAATACCTGGGAGTCACTCTGGACCGTGCTCTGACCTACAAGAAGCACTGCCTGAACATCAAGCAAAAAGTGGGTGCTAGAAACAATATCATACGAAAGCTGACTGGCACAACCTGGGGATCACAACCAGATACAGTGAAGACATCTGCCCTTGCACTGTGCTACTCTGCTGCTGAGTATGCATGCCCAGTGTGGAACACATCTCACCACACTAAAACAGTGCATGTGGCTTTTAATGAGACATGCCGCATTATCACGGGGTGTCTGCGCCCTACACCACTGGAGAAATTACACTGCTTAGCCGGTATTGCACCACCTGACATCCGCCGGGAAGTAGCAGCCAATAGTGAAAGGACCAAGGCAGAGACATCTCCAGCTCATCCCCTGTTTGTGTATCAGCCAGCATGTCAATGACTTAAATCTAGAAATAGTTTTCTAAGATCTACAGAGACACTCGCTGGAACACCTCAAGTCCAAAAGTGGCAGGCTCAAACCCAGAACCTCAACCCAATGGCTGATACCAAATGAGAGACTCCCCCTGGGCAACAGAAAACTGGGTGACTTGGAAGGCACTGAACAGACGTGCTCTGGCACCTCTAATGGATACGGGAAGTTGAGGAAGAAGAGGAAAAAAGAAGGAAGAGGTGCAGCTGAAAGGGTCTTTGAGTGAAATTTGCAAATGCTAAGCAAGTGGCTTTGAATGAAATTAACAGCAAAAGAGAAATATAGCCTTTCTCTGTAGAAAAAGAGCAACACGGAAGGAAATGTTTTTAAGAAACAAGATGTGACATGTAGAGGTCATATAAAGTTCAAGCTACATAGGAAGTAGTTGTGTAGTGGTTAAGCCAAATGTTGTGGTTAAGCGCAGAGTCTGCAGGTACAAGAAGGTACTTTCAATCAAAAGGTCAAGGGAGGGGGGCTGGAAAGAGAGTACATTCCAAGACCCATTACTTGAGTGTATAACGGTGTACAAATGCCTTCACTTGAAGGGTAGCATCTGCGTATGCTGCCAGGCTGTCCGTCTTCTTAATGAAGAAACTAAAATAAACCTTGTTTTTTTATTTTTTTGGGGGGGAGACTGTCTCCTTCCTTACGTGTTCCTGTGATTTTATTTATCGTGTCAGGACAACCAGTCAATTATATTACATTTCTAACAGAACAAAGCAAACAAACAGACAAAATACAAAATGTGAGTTTGGTAGTTGATTAAATGTCCTTTGACCAGTATCTGGCCACTTGGAGTGCTTCTGGTGTTGCTGCAAGAAGGTCCTCCATTGTGCATGTGGCAGGGCTCAGGTTGCATTGCAGCAGGTGGTCAGTGGTTTGCTCCTCTCCACACTCGCACATTGAGGATTCCACTTTGTAGCCCCATTTCTGAAGGTTGGCTCTGCATCTCATGGTGCCCGAGCGCAGTCTGTTCAGCGCCTTCCAAGTCGCCCAGTCCTCTGTGTGCCCAGGGGGGAGTCTCTCATTTGGTATCAGCCATTGGTTGAGGTTCTGGGTTTGAGCCTGCCACTTTTGGACTCTCGCTTGCTGAGGTTCTGGGTTTGAGCCTGCCACTTTTGGACTCTGAGGTGTTCCAGCGAGTCTCTGTAGATCTTAGAAAACTATTTCTAGATTTAAGTCGTTGACGTGCTGGCTGATACCCAAACAGGGGATGAGCTGGAGCTGTCTCTGCCTTGGTCCTTTCACTATTGGCTGCTACTTCCCGGCGGATGTCAGGTGGTACAATACTAGTCTTTGGACTAGTTGAAATTTCCAATGCTCTTCCAAACCAGATCCGCATATAGCACATTATGTACAATAATCCGAGTGGGCTGCAATTTAAGATCTGTACCAATAAGGCTAGATTGGACATAGGCAAACTTGGGTCCTCCAGGTGTTTTGGACTGCAACTCCAACAATTCCTAATAGCTGGTAGGCTATTAGGAATTATGGGAGATGATATCCAAAACACTTGGAGGATCCAACTTTGCCCAGGCCTGGGCTAGATCTGATGTCTCAAACAGTGGCCATAGATGGCACACAAGTTTTAAATGTGCAAATGCATTCCTAGTTACTGCTGAAACCTGAGCTTCCAGGTTCAGCGATGAACCCAAGCGCATGCCCAAACTGTGGAAAAAGCCAGTATCAGTTTCATCCAGTCCATTACAGATGGCAAGCACTGGTTCAACGACCAAAAATAGCTTCCTTGGCCTGCTGTGTAAAGGAGTAATAAAGCTGAGTATCATCTGACAGCATCAAACCCCAAAACTTCAGACAACCTCTTTCAGAACTTTCATGTATGTGTTAAATATAAATACAGCAGATTGTTAACTGGCACCTGTGGGGATTGGTAGATGGTGGATAAATGAAGTTTCTGGTTATTACTGTTATTATCTTTATTTATATCCACCTTCCTCCCCATGGGAACTCAAGGCGGCTAACATCTTCCAACACTAAAGCGTTTAAAAGAGCAATACAAAGGTTAAAAAACAATTAAATTATAACAGTGTTGTTAAAAACAATGAAAATACAGCAAATACATAAAAATGGTCTTTAAAACTCATATTCCTCCAATCTCACCCACCCTTGAGAGTTACTATTACAAATAAGCCTAATACTATAGCATAGCATAAAGTGGATTGGCTTGATATTAATAGTAAAATACAGTAATTGAAAGCAAATAAAGCCAAACTTAAATTAAGGTTTTTGTTAAAATTGATTTTTAAAAGTATTATTTCTTTGATTTTTTGTGCCCCAGTTAACCAAGTCACCTGTACTAGAGGACTCTGTTCCTGTCTCTTTGATTAAAATATAACTGTGCCCCCTTTCTGTATCTCACTTCTTTACAACTGTAACAGTTGAACCATATCATATCTTTCCCCTAACCATTGCAATATGGGGGCTCAGTCATTGCCCTACCTTTAAAAAAAAATTAAGCCTCAGAGCTAATTCATACCCTGAAACTACAAATCTTGTTTGTTGACTTCCCTTACATACTATTCACTGTTTAAAAGCACGGTGCATTCTCACATTT